ACGGAGAGGAGGGAGAGACGAGCTGATTGATTTGGAGCTGTTGACAGCAGGACAGCTCGTTTTTTTCCACAGTATTACGCCATTAAAAAAAAAGGAAAAAAAAAGAAGTTGAGTTGGAGTCAAGCGGTGAAGAGCAGAAAAAGGAGGTGTGTGTTTACAAGGTGAAGTGGGTGTTTGAGTATCTGATAATGATCAGGCAGCTGTTTTCCCCTGAGGATTCATAATAATGAAGACCTGCAGCCACCAGCGCCTCGCCTGCTTCTGGGAACAGACCTGGGAACGAGACTGGCTCATTTCTGAGGCTGAAGGAAATGCAGGATGTCTGACGTGAGCAAAGATGTCTTCACTAAGGAAAGAAAAATCTATTTCATAGATCTGGCAAAGTTAAAATGTCACTGCCTAGTTTTTTTTTGTTTGTTTGTTTTAGCTTTTTGTTCATTTTAAACGTCACCAAAACCGAGAACATTAAAGATACGATCTACAGGAAAATATCTGACGCAAACCACGACATAATCATGGCTTTAATTAAAATGTTTCTTCACCTTTTCATACTTTTAATGAGATATATAAATATATATATATTTACTTTCCATTTCTCCTTTTAGTATGTAACGTGAACAAAAGATCTCTGTGTTGCTTTCTCACGTCAAATGTAAGAGCTTCAACTTAAAGTCTGACTTTTCCTTGAACAACCACATCAACCCATCAACGGGAACCATGAAGAGCAACAGAAAATATTCCAATAGATTAGGTCCGAAAACTAGACTTAAAATTTTTTAGCGTCTTAAAAATGATAAAGTCTAAAAATTTTTGTGTACACACCTTGCACTATGTTACTGAGATGCAAAGTAATGCGTTTTAGGTTTAGTGTAATGACTCAGTGTAAAATGCACAGCTCCTGATCAGAAACAACCAATCAGAGCCAGGAGGCGGGTCTTATCACCGTCAATCACATTCGTGTACATACTGCTCTTTGTCATAAGGCAGAGGAACAACTTACTGTTTCAGGAAAACATGATTGACAGCGCTAAGGCCCTCCTCCTGGCTCTGATTGGCTGTTTCTGGTCAAGCTTTTTACTTCTGCACTTAGCACATGGGAGCGCAGCTTGATTATTTTTCAGACTGTCTGTCTCACACTGTACTGTCAAGACATAGTGACAGTTTTAACACATGTGTAAAAACATACTTTTAAAAAAAAAGTTATATACTGCAGCTTTAAGCAGGGATTTGAAACGATTCTGACCAACGTGTGTGAATGGATTTGCAATGGTCTATTAAAACACGAGAAGGCAAACAAACCGTCCGCCAGAGTCCCTTACATCAGGGGATCCAGAGCTCAAAGCTGATTGGTGGGTGGCTGAGGTGGCTCCAGCAGCTTTCATTATAAATATGTGGGACAGGTTGATACTTCAAAATGTCACCAGTCAACCGGGTAACTCTAGAAGTGATTATTTTTCCCCCTTCTGTTCACATCTCTGATCTCTGGAAACCAGATCTACGTAGACGGGATCCAGCGCTACAACATCAGCCAGCAGTAAAACATAATCCCCACCACAGAATGCCAAACCTCAGCCCCAGTTGAGGTTTCACAACCTCAGCCCGGGTCGTCCACTTCTCTGTTCCTGCTGTATCCAGTGGTGGGAATGAGGCGGACATATTCGTCTGGGAAGAAGGAAAAAAAAAAAAAGAAGCTCTGACTCATGGAAATTACGACAAGAAGCCACTCAGAGATGAAACCGGGCTGGGATGAAGAGCTTGATCTCTTACAGGCCAGAAGGCAGCTGATAGGTGAGCTAGGTGACATGCATGCTTCTCGTTTTGGGGCTTTCAGTAACACATTTGAACTCCTCCGCTTTGTGGTCAAGTGATCGCAGAACGAACAACCTTAAGGACTTCGGAGAAAAACGAGCCCGAGTTCATTGGGAAAGCCAAACATGTACTTGGCGGCGTCGATTTGAAGAGACCTGCTGACATGTTAATCAATATCTTTCAGTACATCGCTCGTCAAACTCAAACATTTTTTAACAAATTCGTTTCACTACATTCACTACTTTACTTGAATGGTAGAATCCATTTAAACTGGTTGTGTCTCAAACCTTTTCCAACAGGGTCATGTTTTCAGGAAAACCCTTTTAGAGGTTTTATATCAGTCTTCTTCATCCAATAAAACCCGGTTTTAATGAGTGGCATCATCGCCCGGCTACAACAACATGCACCAACTTTTCCATGTTAGCTCACTGTTCCCTCTCCACTCAGCCTCTAGTGCAACACATATTGCTTTGGTGGCGACATGGACGAGTTGTAAAAACCCTCATGTTTTCATTTTTGTCCAACACTCTTCTGTTTTTTTTTTTTTGTTGTTGTTTGTTTTTTTCAGTTTGTCTTTCACTGCAGCTCACTGGAATCCAGAAGCTTCATAAGTGGCTTTTGGTCACTGAGACATATCGACCTCTCGGGATTTATAGACGTCATTGTCTTTGCTTCTTATTTGATTTTATTTACCTCTTTGGATTGGAACTGAATTGCTCTTTAACCTGCTTCATGTCATTTCTGTTTAATTGAGGTCATTTAAGGGTCAGGGAGTTGCTCAAGAACTTGAACTCAGCTTTCCCCCCAAAAAGTTAATGGAATCAGCATTTATATAGAATTTAATATAGATAGATATAGATAGATAGATAGATAGATAGATAGATAGATAGATAGATAGATAGATAGATAGATAGATAGATAGATAGATAGATAGATAGATAGATAGATAGATAGATAGATAGATAGATAGATAGATACATAGATACATAGATAGATAGATAGATAGATAGATAGATAGATAGATAGATAGATATACATATTGTCCAGTGAAAAGAAGCTTGTCACGTCATCTTCACACTAAGCTGGTAAAATAACTGCTTGCATAAAAGGTCTTGTGGCTTTTCCTTTAAACTGGTTCCAGTAACTCTACCTGCTGTGACCAGGCGACAGCAACAACAGAAAAAAAAACTCTTGATCTCTGAATTTACTCAGTTTCTCAAAGGCTGTGAAGGTCATGAAGGTATGAAAGTTCTGCAATCTGATCTGAAATATGTGCTAAAAAAAAAAAAAAAAAAAAAAAAAAAGGCTTGGACTGAACGTTTCTCAGACTATATCAAGTTGTGTTTGACCTGCGCAGCATTCGGTGCATTTTAGCGAGCCTGTTGTTAATCTGCTTATCGGAGCTTTAGAGAGATGGAGTTTCTCCCTGTGCTATACACTCTCACGCATACACCCACACACACACGCACACACACACACACGCACACACACACACACACACACGCACACACACACACGCACGCACACACACACACATGCACACACACACACACACACACACACACACATTTGCACTGTAGTCCATCCTGTCTGTTTTCATTTCCTCTCTCTCACCTTTCAGACCCTGCTAGTCTTATCCCCCATCTGCCTCCGCTCCCTCACTGTTCCCTTTCTCAAAACGAAAAAAAAAAAAATAATGTTTTGATGCTCCGTTGTTCACATGATACCGGTCTGCTTTATGCGTTTGCTTTAACAAAATTGTGGGAAAACAGCAGAAAAAGACAACAAATCCAAACCTTTGAAAATGCGTTTTCCAACAGTAGCCTCTTTGTTCAGCTCACACACAACCACTGAATCATGAAATTTATGTATTTACACCAACGATTCAGTCTGGTTGCGCTGCTGGCTGGCGTCTCCGCGTGGTTTACCTCTACCAAGCATGATATGCCAGCAAAGTTATGTAAGTTTTCACCAGCCTACCAATAAGCGTTCGAGATGTCTTGTGTTAAAAGTCAATGGAAGTCACCCACTGACGCATGTTATGGGAAATAATGGCAGTACAGACTCAAGTCCAGACAGCAGGGACTCACTTAATCGCCCAGCAACGTTTCATTACTGAGAACCAGAGGTCTGGACACTCGTATAACAAAAACTTCAATGCTTACTTTGCTCTCGACAAGCTCAGAGCTGTTAATGGTCCTGGCTGGAGCAAGTCCAATAGAGTCCCAAAGAATGGCAAGATGGGCCCAGCCTCCGACTGATGCTGGATTTATGGTCTAAATTAATTCGGGTTTAAATTAAAGAGCAATCAGCTCCAAACAGGAGAACGTCCAAGAGCATGTTCTGCCCTGGGGAACCGCTTTTCTACAGACTCTTTGTGTCTGTGAATATCATCCATGTGAGTCACCTGAAACGTCTCCACCACCGGATTTATAGAGACACCTAAGGAGAAAGAAGGTGTTGCCTCAATGAGCTAAATTCAGCCAAATAATGGAGACGAGGTGTCCAAGGACATCTACTTGAAAGCTACAGTACTGAAGAGAGATCTTTCTGTTTGGGTGCATTCACATTTTCCTTGTTCAATCCGTTTTAACCTAACTCCAGTTTGTTTGTCTAGAGCAGGGGTGTGAAACTCCAGTCCTCAAGTGTCCTGCAGTCTCTAGATGTGCCCCAGGTACAAAACACCGTGATAAAATGGCTAAATTACCTCCTTCTTATGTAGATAAGTTCTCCAAAGCCTTGCTAATGACCTAATTATTCTGTTGAGGTGCAGCAGAGGCACATCTAAAAGCAGGGACCGGCCCTCCAGGACTGGAGTTTGACACCTGTGGTCTTCTAGAGAGTCCACTTTGTTTGGGGAGGTGTGAATGCCCAATCAAGCTCTGGTCCTCGATCTCAGTTTGGTTCAAATTAACTCTGGCACGGTCCAGATATGATCGCTCAAAAACAAACCCACTAGTTGAGTACTAGTGAGAGAAATGGCCGGTGGTCTGCATCAAAACAGTACTTTGTGATTTTACAAACACTGACAATTGTGATTTGATACAATGTGCAATGAATTACGTAGCATCCACAACCACAAATGCAACACATCCTAAATCATGTACTCACCTCCCAGTTTGCTTTGCATGAACTTTAAAAACAAGCCCTATTAATCTGTCTTTGTATGACAGCACCAACTTGTGTTTTATATAAATATTTTTATTTGATTCAGTAAAATCCTGCTTCCATTTATGATGAATAAAAAGTACCAGAAGTAGAAAAAAACACAGCTTTAAAAAAAACCATGATTATAAAAATCAGAGGATATACATGAATGTTTTACCAGAGGAAGAACAAACGTTGGAGTAGAAAACCTCAAGCCAGTCACTGTTTGAAGAAGAGAAACGATTTCAGCCAGATGGCGGTCTTTAGTGCTCAGCTGTTACCGTTCAGGTGAAGAAGCAGAGCCACCAGTTCTTTGATGTTATGATGAAATGCATCACAAATGCTCGTCCTCTGAGTTGAGAAATGTTCTGTCTGTCTGAGGTGCGTCTCTGGGCTTGGGAGAGTTTCAGAGTTTATTATTTTGCAGCAAACTCTTAAGTGTGCACTTCAGGTCCAAATGAGTGGCACGAGTCCCACACAGGATCGAGAAAAATTTGTCCCTTCCTCAGCAGGCGGTGAGGAAGGTCCCATCCACTGCAGGATCTGCCTGTCGGCTCACCTGATACCTGATTAAAGAAGAGTCTTTATGAATATGAGGATGGAAACTCATGAAGAATCAGAAGAATTACGTTTTTATTAGCCATAAAATTGTGCAAACTGAAAGTACGAAAATAAATGTGCCTAAAGAAAGTGGGCTAATTTTGAAAATAATACATCATGTTTTTTGATGAAAAGTTTTAGCACTAAGATGAGGTGGCTTTTCCACCGTATTCAAATAGCAGAATTTCTTAAAATTGCAATGGCAAAGCTTTAACCACATCACACAAGTCACATCATCAACATCTGGATGTTGCTGCTGGTGGAAATGACAAAAAAGACAAGGACAGGAAGTAGTAGGAGGATGATGGTTTGTTTGTGTTTCTTTTGGACATTGTGCAGCTGGCTCCTCCAGAGCTCTCACCGCACCTCACAGTTCCTAAAAAGTCGTGTCATTGCAAAATGTTGCATCCATAACTTTCCAGTAAAATCACAGACTACAATTTTCCCAAAACGCTGCATGCGTAGCGTCTTGATAACTCTCTCAAGTATCAAAGGCTTGTCGCTCCAATGCCCAAATGAGACGCTAGATTTTTAATCTCACACGGTTTTCCTGGTAAAATAACAGTTAATAACAATAATAATAATGTATATTATAATAAATATAGCCATTATAATAATAATGTCTACTATTATAATAAAAATAATTATTACTATGTCTACTGGATATTATAATGTCTGCTGAACATTATCATTATAATAATAACAGACATTATAGCAATATTGTCTATTATTATTATTATTATTATTATTATTATTATTATTTTAAATAGTGATAATATTTCTTTCCTCTGAGATCATTCCAGTTCTCTTTACAAAAAGATAAGTTAAGCTAGTTAAAATGTAACAGACTAACAATAAAAACCCAAATGTGATTTAAAGATGGCTATTATGTAAAGGTGAGAAATGTTTTGACGTGTTTCAGTTTCAGTCCAGCGGTACATTTCAGGAGAAGTGTTAATAAATTAGTTTGAGCCATTAGCAGCCGGTAGCATTCAGTGGTTTCCTCACCATTATCTCTGTCCTGGTTTTGGCCGATGTGCCACTTGTTGTTGCATGTGCACTCTAAGTGGTCCTCCAGTGTCACCTCCACCTCCCTCAGTTTGGGCCGCCGCCGCACGTACTCCACCTTCGCCACCTGAAACCAAACACAGAGAAGCAGCATTCAGTCCCTATGCTGCTCAGATCTGGAACAAACTTCCAGACAACTGCAAAACGGCGGAAACACTGACCTCCTCTCTAAGTCAAGACTAAAAACCCAACACTGTTGACTGTAAAGGGAGCACTTAACAAAATGCCACGTCTGTTACTGGCTTCCATAATTGGTGACAGTGTAATATGTTTATGATTTTATGATGTAAAGCACTTTGAACTGCTTTGTTTCTGAAAGGTGCTGTGCAGAAAGCACATTTCAGATTGATTAAAATGCAGATGACAAAGAAGCAAGTGAAGAAAACTTTTTTTAAGCCAATGAAAACAACATCTATTCATTTGGCTCCTTCAGACTAGCTAGCAGCAATTAGTAACCACTTGGTGGAACAGCACATCTGCTGAGCTCATTATGGGAGCTACTTCTCAGGGAAACGCTGGTAAAAACTTTGTTAAAGGGTTAATCCACATTAATATCATGAGGCTTGCTGTATTAAGCCTCATGGACAAGAGGCTCCCGCCGCAAACCAGAACCACCATTTGTTTACATGTTAGCAACTCACTAACCAGCTTTCGTCAGAGCTTTTAGGCTCTAAAATATGTGGGAACACAAACTATCACAGTTTAAATGTGACAATATTGTTTTACCAAAACCTACAGCTGCTGCGGGGAGGGAGGGTGACTTGAAGAAATACTGCCATGCTAGCATATGTAGCTACTTCACTGACTCAGTTGCTTCGGATGCAGATACAGGTTTTCTTCCCTTGGCGTTTTGTCAACACAATGAAATGAGCAGACATAAAGCATTTTGGGTTTTCTGTTCAAGTTTAGAATTTTTAGCCAAATTTTTTTTTTGTTTGCTTATCTGTCAGTAGGTGATAAAAACTACCACCTTTGTTTTGGCAGCATGTTCAAGACACACTTGCTGCAGCCACAAATTAAACTTGGTCTGACTATTAGACTGCAGCCACAATCAGCACAACAGTCAGCCGAGCTTCGAAAGGGCATCTTATCACACTTTCCAGTGTCAAGTTGCTCTCTGTAACAGGTTGATGTGTGATTCGGTTCGGTTCTAGTCCAGTGGGGAGATTCTCCATGTCACAGTCTGAAGCGCAGCAGCTGCGGTCATTTCTCCGCTGATTTGCAACGACGCTCAGCAACGGAGAACCTCGAGGTTCTGGTTGTGATGGATTAACTACTCGCAGGTATATTATTTTGTCTTGTAAATAAATTTTCCTGACCCAATTATAATGATAAAGACTCAGATCTTGAACTTTATTATTTTTTAAATTCAAACAAAAAAATCTAATTGACATCACACCAAGCTAATATGATGCAGTTCTGGTGTTTTACACTGTCGCCACTAACTGCAGCTCAGATCTCTGACCAGCTTCTCTGCGTTTCTCGTCTTTATTACTGACAGTTCTTCAGAGAAGTGATTCACAGTCATTTGGTTACAAAACTTAACGATGGTGTTCCTGTCGCTCCCCGTGATTAAACTCATAATTAAGATAATCTGTACTCAGCAGCTCTCTGATGGCAGATGCCGTTGTGACGACTTCCTGAAGGTGGAGTTTCAGAAAGAGAAGTTTTTAAAGAGGCAGAGGCCCAATTTGAAGGCGTTAAATCAGAAAGTAAAATTCACTTGGAGTCATATGTGCCTGGAAAACACACCGCCGCTTTAAATGTATTTAAATGTCCATGAAACGACCTGCGCTCAGTGTTCAATAACACATAAACTTGCATCATGAACTTCCAAATTTATGGAGAAATTCCGCAAGTTTGAGGAAACGCGCTTGTCCAAATGTGATGTCTGTGGCCATTGGTATTATGAACAGACCGTTTTTCACCTACATAAGGAAACCATAACAGATGCTGCACGCAATATCTGGACTGCATCATTTAAAGTCAAGTCATTTGCATGTGAATACCGTTTTCTGTATCAAAATATAATTACTTCAACTTAAACTAAAAACACATCAGCTTGAGGCTCCTCCTTAATTTCCTGATCTTATGTAACACCTCCAGCCCTATGTAAACAGATGGGTGTGGCTCTTCTTGTTTGGGTGAATGAATTGCATTCATAAGGACAAGAGGCTTGATTTCAGTGTCAACACCCAAACACAGGCACACACACTTGGAGTTGCTCTTCGCGTGTGCGCAGTAATCTAGTCCCAAAGCAGTTACATAAAACGCGGGTGCTTCGCGCTCACATTCCCAAATTGGTTGGAGCTTTAGGTCAGATTGCAACAGCGTCTCCGCTTCAAGTCTGAACAAATTCACAAACAGCCAAGCCGCCGAGGATTGGGAGAGGGACAGAGCGGGGTTAGCCGAGGTGAGAAAGACGGGTGAGACGCCGCTGGAAGGTAAGCCCTGCTGTTCTGCAGAGGCTGGCCTTAAACAAAAAAACAAATAAACTGAGTTTATTCTCAGGGATTTTTATTTGTATTATCTTTTTAACCTTGAGCCTGGGTAAGACAAAACTGGAAGCTGCAGGATTTCGAGGCAAAGTTGAAAACCTGGAAAAGTTAATTATACTTCATTCGTCCAACGCAAAGTTGCTTTGTGAGTTGAGTCTGAGCTGCGGCCTGCGGTGGATCCATTTTTACACTGTGTTTATGTCGATGCTTTGGTTGATTTATAGCAATTAACACTTTTGGGGTCACGTAAGAACAGAATGATATATGTAACTTTTATAATACTTTTTTTTAATGTATTTGTCAAACTGTCACTGTTTTGTGTAAATTGAGTCAGATAATCTGAAAAAATCTCATTTTCTTTCCTTCTTTCTATTTTGCTTATTTTTATGGGGAAAAGTTTTCCGCATCAACAAAAATAGAACATTATCACATTTATAGCGTTGGCTAATTTCAAATCCCCACAGCAGATTAGAGGTTAATAATGTGGTTTTCTTGCTCTTTTGCAGTTCATTTTTTTTACGCGCGTTCGGTAACAACGATTAAATCAGGGACGGGAATTAAAACCCCACACATCTACGCCCTCAAGGTCTAGATATTAAAAAGAAAATCTTTGCTAGGAACGGAGGGGGAAAAATTAATTGCAGTTGAAAGTTTACAGTGGCAGGCTGGTGCTTGTTTAGTACTTATGTAGTTTATGTTCAGTAGCACAGTTTATGTCTGCAGTTGGAACGTTTCTGGCTTTCAGCCACGATGTTGCTAAATCTCACACAAATTGACCAAGAGAACCCAGTAAGGAAAATAACGATACGGGTTTTTGTAGTAAAACTATCCTTTATTACAAGTTTAAGAGACTCTGCTGTTGTTTCATGTTTTTCATTTAGCAGGATGCTAACTTTGTGTGAGTAGCTGCTCTTTTACACGTTAAGAGCGGCATGCAGTTAGAAACACTGCATCTTATCAGAATTGTCTGAACATTGTCAGGAACTCTTCACAACCTCACTGTGAACTTTATAGAGAGATGCAATCAGGCAAACAGTGCAGCAGCTTCAAAGGCTGCACGGCTTTCTGCCTCAGGCCGAAGAAATCTTGGCGAGCTCTTGAACATGGTGCATTTTCCGTGATTGCACTTATCTCAAGTTTTTTTCTTTTTGATCTGTTTTGTGTTTTCATCTGTTTATTACATTTTTTATACACGCGTTAAATAAAATAAATGGATTTGATTCAAGATCTATTTGAGATTAAATTTTAATAGACCACTGCTGAAACAAAAATGGGTCATCAGGAAAGACTTGTTGATTCTCATCAGGCTTGAAATAAATATATAAAGCAACACCGACACTGTTTTTCTTCTGACTCCTGCCATATGGAGCAGGGACGCAGTGGTGACCGTTTGCCCTCTGAATGCTGAACCTCGGCATACGACTTTATTTTTGATTTCCTCTGTGAGCAGACAAAGAACGACTCCTTTCATCTGAGATTGGGTTTCCAAAGCTTCGAAAATAAAATTCTCCTTCTCTTCTTTGTCTCTGGCAACTCTCAAGCACTCAAAAGCCCCTTCCAGCTTTCTGTTTGTTCCTATAAAACATTTTTTTTTAAACTTCAACTTCAGTCAGTTGGTAAAGATCAGAAACATGAATTTAATTCCCGTTAATGTTCAACCAATCAATCAATCAATCAATCAAGTTTATCTGTGAAGCACATTTCAGACGCCTCTGCTCTGAAAGCTAACATTTTCATAAACAAACTCACTGGCTGAATCTCAGGCATCAGAAGACACACTCATAATCACACACATGCACACACACTCAAGACTTATTCGCACACATATAAAACAAATGAAAACATAAACACACGGCAGGCCTTTATACTTTAGATGAACACAGAATCTGCCAAAAGTAACTCCTACCATCAGCTGAACCACTGGGTGTATGTGCATGTGTATGTATGTGCGTGAAAGTCTTCCATGTGTGTGAGTGTGTGTGTAAGTCTTGCATGTGTGTGTGTGTGTGTGTGTGTGTGTGTAAGTCTTGAGTGTGTGCTACTCATGGACAAATAATAGAATCCTATTGTACATGTCAGTCAAGAAGTGATCAGTGTTTGCAAAGAACATGAAAGCTTATTCAGCGACAGTTTCTGTTTGCTGGTGTCATGGCAAAGCCGTGTTGTGTTATTGGAAGACGGTGCTTGAATGCAAAGACGACACAGACTTCAATTACTTTGAATTACATACTCTGCTGATTAAGTGTAGCCATCCTTAATCTTAACAATAAAGGGTGGAAATAATTCCAGTGATTCAAAGATTAAGCCTTGTGAAAATTATTAAAAATCACAATCTCACACTGTTTTTTTATTTTTTAGAAGCATTCAATATAATTTAAACCAGTTTCATTTGCAATTTGAATTGATTTGATTTGGAACTGGTTTCATAAACATTGAGAATTTTCTTAGAGGGAAGAGAGAAGTAAATGAACCTAACAAGATTAATTTTATAAGTGCTATTAATTGTGTATCTGTTTGTTTTTTTATTATTGTTATCTGGTACCGAAATCAGCTGTTAATAAAGAGCTGACTCAGAGGAGAACTGACAGAGTAACGGACACAGTGAGGTGGGATTTTCCGTTTTACCTTGACAGTACGGAGCTGTTTGCGCGCCGCTTGGCACCTCATGTTGTTCGTGTTGCAGCAGCCGGTGCAGCGCTTCACTTCAACGCAGGGAGGCCAGATGATGAAGTTGGCCGAAGTGGGATCCACCTGACTCCTCGGGATTTCATAAATTGTCGTGCGCACTTTGCACACGGCCGGCACGGCTTCCTCCACCACTGCAGGGGGGAAGAAAGGACATCAAACGCCTTCAGCAAGCTGCTGTTGAACGGCTAGACTGTATAATCTTGCAACATTTTCTGCACAAAGAACTAAAAATTGATTTGAAACAGAATCATTTTGCAACTCGGCGGGCCTCACCGGTGCTTCTCCTTTGTCTTGTGTGTAAGTGTGGTTTCTTGTGAGTGGGGGAGACGTGAGAGAAGTCCTTGTGGTGGATGTGTTTGGTCTCCTCGATCACCTCGTTCTCTGGACGGAGACAAAATAGGACACATTGTACTGCTGGGAGCACAGTAAAACACATCTTCTCACACTCATCACGTCATTTCAATGACCTTTGAGAAACTTAGATTTTCTCCAGTCTAAACTTGTTTCAAATTAAACAGTTAAAAAAGAAGTGTTTTGAGTTTTCCAGCCACATAACCATATTACACTGCGAAAAATTCTACATATCAAACATGATTTTAAAGAAATTTGACTTCAAAATTTTACGTCTTGAAATTGAGGTGTCTGTCTCTTTAAGAACCCCCTGTTCTTTCTGAAGCTCCGCCCTAGGGAAGTCACAACATCTCTCCCCATCACTGCTACGTCCACCCAGCAGTGTTGTAGTCAAGACCACCTCACCGAAGACCAAGACAAGACCAAGACCAGAGTGTATCGCGACCGAGTCCAGACCAAGACTGCAAGACGCCCCATGCTAAATGACACAATAAAATGTGAAATATGCTCAAAATTGCAAACCAAATTGATCTAAAAAATTCACATTCCCATAAAAACACCTAGATATTAAATACTTAGAGTTGAAATAAATTTAACCAATATTAAAAGCAGAACAAACTCTTTGTTGGAGGAGGCAACCATTCCGAACCATTCAGCCATTTTTGCGCAGCTGAATGGTTGTCATAGGAGACTAAAAGATTTCTCGAGACCTCAGAAAAGAATCAAAGCAAGTCCAGGTATGTTTTCAATGAGGGAGTAACATTATAACTTGATGTAAAGTTGAAAAAAGTCAATTTTACATAATTGACTTTTGTAAAATCCCCTTTAGGGATTTATACATTCATAATTAAATATATTGGGCTCATAAGCTTCAAAGAACAAATAAAAAACATAAATCTCCACCTATAATTCTGTAATTTTGTTGTTGTTTGATCAGAACCTCTTAAAATACTTTTGATGAATGATGAACAGAAATGTGAAAAACAAAGCAGGATGAATTCGATTTCTCATTCAGAGGAACATCCTCCTGATCAGAGTCTAACGCGGTTATTCTAACTCAGTTATGGTGTTTATACATCTCAACGGGTCACTGGGTCTTCTCCATGTCAATTTCATCTGAGAAAAACAAACCTGTCCGAGAGCGTGTGAAGAATTTCTTAAATTGAGTTTGAAAGCCAACGGGAGCTGCTTGGGGTCACCCAGAGGTCGTCAGCTGAGGAAATGTTTTGCTGAGTCAGGGTTTGAGACAGTAAGTTTAAAGCACAGAAAACCTCTTTTTTTGTTTTTTTTAGTACAGATGGTTAGTTGTGAAGTGAAATATTGATCCCATTTTGGCCATCAGAAACAATATAGTAAACGATGAGTTCAAGGCTTTTGGATACAGTGTGAAACTTGTGTTTTTTTGGGTGCGACAGCGAGAAATGATACATTTGTCACATTTAGGACCACATTGGACTGCAAGTCACTGATTTCAATCTGTTTGACTGGACTATAGTGGTATGAATTTGATTTATTGTGCATTGGTACTGTATTTGTGAATTGGTGTTACATAAATTTATAAAGCCGGTTTATGTCGTTCTTGGAAGACGAATTAAAAAGTAGTCTGGCGGACCATGTTGCAGATGTTGGTGTCCCTCAGGGTTCTGTTTTAGTTCCCAGGGTTTTTAAATCCCACACACAAACTCCATTGGGGAATGATATGATCAGAAAACGAGCAATTATTTTAACTTTATCAATGATGAAACCCAGTTATAGCTTTCTGTTAAGGCAAAAAAAAAAAAGAATATTCAACTGCTTAAGTAACAATCTATTGAAGTTAAGTCACACCAAAGTTTTCCTTTAATCCCAAGAAACTTGGAAAGTCCAAGTTTGGTTTCATAGTTTCTACTGAGGTTATTCCATTTACCTCAAGTGAATAACAAAGTTCAGAAATGTCTCCATCTCTGTCATATCTTCACGATGATATTGAAGGAAAATGAATTCATGGAGCTCAGATCTCTTTGTGGTAATAACTCTAAACTCTAACTTGTTTCTGTGACGGTGCACATATTTTTTGGTTGTGCAGATATTCACACAGTGCGCTGGCTGACCCGACAGAGTCCGCCCCTGACCGTCTCCGTCTCGCTCCTCTTGTGGCCTGACACGCTGGAATTCCAGCATGAATTATACATAGCAACACAGCAGCCTTGCAGGGAGCCCTCCTCTCAAACTAATAATGGGCAGCATGACAACAGTATAATGAAGTGAGCCACTTGACCCCCACTGAGCCTGGGGAGCTGTCACACTCTGAATTTGCATCTCAATGATGCCAGGATTAATGGTGGCACCGATCTTTACTGAAAGACAAAGAACAAAAAAGAAAAAAAAGCAGTGGACGTCTCACGAGAAATGAAACGATTTAAGATGCAGGAAATTTTTTGAAGTGCTGCAGAAGTCAGGGTTTGTTTTTTTGTGTGTGTGTGTGTGTGTGTGTGTGTGTGTGTGTGTGTGTGTGTGTGTGTGTGTGTGTGTGTGTGTGTGTGTGTGTGTGTGTGTGTGTGTGTGTTTTGTTTTTCTTCACTGTTTTGTGTTCACTGTTTCCACTTCCAGGTCAAACCTTTAGCTAACAAGTGGAAAAGGACCAAGGAGGATTTAAACTGGATTCAAACTGCTTTTTGCTTCCAGCAGCATCTGGAAAGACATCCCAGTAATGAGATGATTCACTATCTTCCCGTTCTGCCATGAACCACATAAAAATAATACTCTTTCAAGGAGCAAACGGAGGTCAAGGCGGGACGAAGAACAGCACACGCTCGCCCCCAGTGACTAACGTTTTACAACTAGCCAAAGAAACCAGAGGTGTTTTTCCAAGGGTTCCTGTCAATGTCGTTTACTTACATTTTTATAGACGAGAATCAAATATGCTTCCCGTGTTCCTAGAATACTCTGTCTGACTATCAGCAAAATTTCGAGAGAAACCAAGGCTTCCAATAGTTAGAATATTTTTCTTTTTTTTTAAATCACTAAAATGCTAAGTCATCACATTCCTACGTTTCAAAAACAAGCATTGAGTCAGCCAGCACTGGCCTTCCCCTGAGCACTGTTGGTCAGCTGGCTGAAAAAAAAAAAGAAAAAGGCAGCTGCACTTTTTTAGCGTAAATTAACCAATTAAAATCTGCATCCTAAACTTCTAATGTGACTGTGAAGACAAGAAGGACAAAATAACAGTCTGTGTGTTTTTTTTTTAGTTTGCATATAAAAGTATTTAATAACCAATGAGATGAAGAAAAATTATTTTATATAAAAATGTAAACTCCCCGGTTGTGTTCGTTGATAAACCGGTCAGCATCAGACGGAGAACTAGCTTAAAAAATGCTAATGCTAATTTAGCCGTTTCCGTTGAGTTTTCGTCACCTCGAAAAAAAAACGAGTTAATTCCTAACAAGAGCAATTTGAACCACATGTTTCGCTGAGTTAGTTTTCAGTAACACGTTTATAAGGACAACTTGGGATGTTGGAGGAGGGCGAGACGCTACATTAAAAAAAAGAAAAAGAAAAAGAAAAAAGAAAGGCGCTTTACCTCCGGTGTCCATTTCGAGCAGCCGCTGGAGGTCGCTGATGCTGCGGATCTCGCTGCGGGACAGCCGCTCCAGCAGCTCCCGAGGGAGGGGAGCCTCCTGCACGCACACACAGACATCACGTTAATCCAGAACACGATATGGAACCGAGAAGTTACGTATTGTAAAAACATTAATTATGTATTCTAAAAATGAAGATAAAATAAAATAGGCTATATTAAAAAAGCCCCGATGCACACTCTGGTTTTGCTCTTGCACGAGCCTATGATTGAACTGTAACGTGAAACTATGGCAACGTGCGGCGTCTCTCACAAATCCGACGGCGATCTGCAGGGCTCACCTCGCCAGCGGCGCGCAATAGGCAAAAGCAGCCGGTCAGGAGGTGGAGGACCGCGGCTTTCATCTCCTCTCAGGTCCGCTGCATGAGCACGACGAGGCTAAACTCCGGTGCAGGAGCCGGCCGGGCTGCTGCTCCCTGATCCCCGCAGCTTTCAACCATCCCTCGGAAGGAAGCGCTGCCTCCGACACCTTAGAGGAGGTGACTGCGGCTCAGCATTCAGGGCAGGTTTTACACCATGAGGGAAACTAAATGAAGAGCGCTGGCGCTTCTGATTATAAGTCACTTTAAGTGACACAATCACAAGAGAGATTCCCAATAAGAATATTGATTTTAAAAATCCTAGCAGAAAAGCATCTTAATGGGAAAACTGAAATAAAACGGAGACAGGTGATCTCCAGCAGTTCTCTGCTTCAGATTCACAGGTGAACAAATAAAGCTCATCAAAAACACACACACATAAATATTATATTGTTTTACACACATCCAGAAATCCAGTTCTGTTCACAGCGGGACCCGGTCCAAGTTCGCACACTTTATTCCACCTGCAGCCTCGCGGTTCCCCTCGGCGTGTCGACGGATCACGCGGAACCTTCTTCTGGAAAATCCGCTCGACCCTTTGGCAGCAGCCAAACCCAAACGGTCGGTGAATGCGTCCGGAAATCCGCAGCGCAGGAGGCGGCGGCGGGCTCCACGCGCTGACTGGCTGAGGTCTCCGGGGTGAATGAACACGAGACGCCTCCAGTCGCCTCCAATATAACGCCGCCGCGCGCCCTCGTGAGCGCGCTTTGCGTAACGGTGGCCGCGTAAAAATATTTAAAAAAAACATACGAGGAATTCTTCAAGTTTCTGCAGCTGCGCAGTTCGGTCAAAATGTACAGTGGGACCGCTTCCCCCCACTGGTCCCAGTTTGGAAATGTCACTGGGTGAATATGGGAAATTAAATGATTTATCCATTTATCCATGCAGCTTCTGTCCTTCCTTCCTTCCTTCCTTCCTTCCTTCCTTCCTTCCTTCCTTCCTTCCTTCCTTCCTTCCTTCCTTCCTTCCTTCCTTCCTTCCTTCCTTCTGTTCTTCCTTCCTTCTTTTTTTCCTGGCTTCCTATCCTATCGTTCCTATCATTGTAAATTAACTGTTTATATTTGTCACTAATATGATAATTATTCATCTGCAAGTCATTGCAGATTTTTTGTTAATCTTTGCCCAAACTTTTGTGTCATTGGATGGAGGTCACATTTTATGTGTTTCACTGCTCTCCTCTGGGACACGACACCTTTTTAAATGAGATTTCAACAGTTACGTGTCTTCCGGGCCAAATATTATATATTAATACAATAATAAAATAATAATGACAATAATAAAGTAATAAAATATAGACGGGACTGAGAACTGAGGATTTTTGACCCCCTGTCCCCCCCAAAAATATGTCAATAAAGATAAAAAGAAAGAAAAAAATACACTTACATTAAACATTGTCATAAAAAATAAATGACCCTTCTTTTTTTTTCCAGAAATGGGACAAACCACCACAATCAAACGTTGATGTCCTGCAGTGACATTCATGACACGGACGGTGATTCATGACCTAATAAACCATTTCGACACACATTTTCTTCAGAGTCCAAGTCACACGATTGAAAACAGTTCTGCGAAAACCACAGACGCACGAGCCTCCGAAAGGAGAGGAAGCAGGAGTGTGTGTCGAGCAAGTCAGCGGCCATGCCGGATGTTGGCTCGCTGCGAAACGAAGGGCCTTGGTGTTTGCTCATGCCGGACATAATGACTGTGCTCAGATTTGCTGCTCCCACGATCCATCGCGCGGCCAAGGTCGCAGAGACTTCTAGCATGGAACCAAAATGTTTACAACGTGTTGAGAGCAACTGGAGACATGAAATCAGACGGAACTGGATGATTTCCAGGGAATGAACTAAATCTAACAGATTCCGCTAACGACAAAATTCTTTGTCCCATCACGCCGTGAATATCTATAGATAACAAATATTTCCCCCAAAGAGATGAGACGATCAAACGAGTGGAACATCTGGCCAAACTGGTCAATGGATGACCTTTTGTCAATATCCTGAGTTGACCAGATCACACTCGATCAAACGCTGCGTTAAAGACAAACCTGTCAAAGCAGAGGCGCGGAGTAAACGCAGACTTCTTGACGGGAAAACGATGGGCGAGCTCACAAAGAGCACAGGGAGCCAGAGCGGAACAAAAACCATAAATCCAAGAAGAAGAAAAAAGCCAGCAGGGAACACGGGGGAAGAAACGAAGAAAATAAGATTTAACGAGAGGAACAAGCAAAGAGTGAGAGGAGTGTTTAAGTATTCAAGCATTGGGGAGCGAATGTGGAACAAGAGACATGGTTCTGGTTGGCTGTAATCGTTGCAGGTGTAAGAAGAGATAGAGAGAAAGAGAGATGAACTGGCACTAGAAAATAAATAAGGATAAGAAGAAGAAGAAATGAACCAGAATCACGAACTACGGACTGAGATCAGGTAAATCAGAAACGAGGCTGATCCAAACAGAGAAAGAGGCACAGAATCATAAACAGACCTTACAACAAAGTCGGGATCCTGACAAAATCAGAGGGAATCGCAGTTCATTCAGAGAGAATAAAAAGTCTTTTCCTGCAACGTGTTATTCAATTAAGCAAACTCCCTCTGACATCGTGGTTAAACCGAGAGTGAGTGAGAAGAAGAAAAATGAGAAGCGGTTCTTTGGGTCAGGGTGTGGGGGGAAAAATATAAAAGACTTTGTGCTTTTTTGTTTTTTTTTTCTTCTTCTTTTCCTGATATAATGCTCCATAAAACCAGGCCTCAAGCTCTCCAGCACGCGCACACACACACACACACACCCCTACACACACCCACACACACACACCCTACACACACACACACACACACCCACACACACACACACACACGCACACACACACACCCCTACACACACACACACACACACACACACACACACACACCCCTACACACACACACACACACACCCACACACACACACACACACACGCACACACACACACACACACACACACACACATTTATTTCCCCTTTTTGTCTGCTTCTCGTTGGCATGTGCGCACGTCCTCCCTGACCTCATGACCTCTCACTTCGGCATTCGGAGCGATTCGCTTCGAGTGTTGTCCAAGTTTTAACGTCAGAGCAGAAGTTAGACGCGGAAGGAACAGACGGAAACTCCTGGCCAAGAACGGAAGCGAGGGGATCATCTCGAATTCAGAAGAAAAGAGTAATTTGATGAATTTGAGGCCCCAAATTAAAAGTCCTGTTAGATCGACATAGATCACACTTCAGCAACAACAACAACAAAAGAGTCCACCGCTGTCTCTGAACCTCCATCAGAGGCCTCCGTGTAAAAATACACACATACAAAGAGACAGAGGGAGATGAGGAGAGACAAAGAACCGGAAAGATGGAGGGGTAATTGGGTCAGAACCGACTCGGATTTCGAATGGCATCGTCGGCGCCGTGACGCTGTTGCTTCCTCTCGACAGCAGCTTCTTTGAACTTGATTTGCTCCCCAGTCCGTTTCTTTTCTTTCCTTTTTTTCTGTCTTTTTTTCCCTTTTCTACCAAAGCTGTTTGGGGACAGCGAGACTCAGGCATCGAGAAGAAATTGAGCAGAAAACATTTATTTTCAGACAATATTCTTGTCTTAAAAGAAAAAAAAAAGTTATAAAGTAGCTGTGAGAATGAAGCCCGGGATCTGTTCATCAGAACAGATGTTGGTAGTTTCAACCAGCTAATTGTTTTAATGAAATTAAGGACAACACACTTTACTTTACTTTGCATGGTTAAAATATTGGTCAAAGATACAATAAGAAATAATGATAGTGGAGCAGGAAGAGGCCAAATAAAAGTATTTACTGTTATCAGTTAAATCAGCAACAAATTATTCCAACATAAAGACTTTCTGGTCCGTTTCTCCTCTAAAGGCCCTGACATTTATTTTGTGAAAAATAATAACTAATCACTAAATATGAGATTATTTATTGCAGAACAAATCTTTTTTTTTACACATTTGTGGGCCCCTCTTTTAGTCTTTATCCCCGACTGGACTGCCTTGATTCTTTGATGGGTGTTTGAGAAATCCTTCAATCTCCCGTGAAAACCATTCAGCTCTGCAAAACGCCTGCGTCGGCTTTTTGCTCCGCCTTCAGTGGCACGGTGCACCACTCCCCACTCTCGGCTCCTTCGGACTAGTCAGCAGCAATTAGCAAACACCCGGTGAAACCGTCTGTCGACGGAGCTCTTTGTATCAGCTTCTTGTCAGAGAAGCACTGGTAGAAACGCTGTTGAAGGGTTAATAGAGGAAAAATGTTGTAATGACTTCCTGGAAGCAGAGTTTCAGAAAGAGCAGGAGTTTCTTAAAGAGACACAGCTCCAAATTAAATTACAAAAGCAAATGTCGTTTAAGTCACGTCTGATATACGTTGCATTTTCATAATAACTGAAGTGTATATAGTTACTTGATTGTGCTACAAGATGAAACTACATGGCTGGAAAAAACACAATACCGTGCCTTTAAGGGACGCTTTTAAGTCATCACAGTATTTTCTTTAGTTAATTCCTTTAAAGAATAAAATAGAAGAAAAATGTAATTTAACTTAATCTGAATGAAATATGGACAATTACAAAAAAAAAGTAAAAGAAGCAAGAATATGCAGCCATATATATTTGTTGAGTAGAAAGTGCACACTTCTCCATCTGCAGAGTATGCATCCATTGTCTACACCAGTGGCATCCAGACTTTTTGGATGCTTCTGGTTCAAATTTGCCAAAACTGCCAAATTTAAACGGGTGGCAAGCCACAAATCATTAAATGACTGAATGATGTCTGTAAACACCCAGGTCCTTAACTGCAGATGGCAAAACCAGCATTCTGTTTTCTCATGCATGATTATTTTCTTGTTGCTGTTTTAACTGTTAAATAAAAAAATAAAATAAAAAAAAAATTAAAGTTCTTAATGATCCAAAACATAAACAAGGCTTGAGACTGAGGCCTTATTAAAAGAGAAAACAGACAATTTCCAAACTCCCAGCCGTCTCGTTGTCACAGTCAGTCATTCTCTGTGTCTGTTGTTCTTAGCTTGTGACTTGGGGGGCAGACCAAAAACATTTCAAGAGCCACAAATGGTCCCCGGACCACACTTTGGACACCCCTGGTCTGACGTCACTCGTCCTTCCACGGTTTCTCCAGCAGCAGCTTGGCCACATGCAGGAATATCCTGAACGGGTCACAAGTTCAACGCAGGACAGACGTTCATTGGACACACACATTGATACCTAAAGGCAATTTGGAGAGACCGATTCTGACCCTAACGCGATGATTTTTTTGGGGGAGTGTGGTACCCGGAGTACCCGAAACAAGAACACCCAACAAACCACGCAGAAAAGACCGCAGGACAACCCGGGCCAGAACACATAACTGAGTCAGCTTTTTCCATCTGCTCTGCTGTTGGACGCGAGACGAAGAGACATAAAAATCACAGGCAGATTTTAGGAGGAGGCTGGAGCAGATTTGGGTAAAATGAGTGTTTAGGAAACACAGAGGGAATTAAAGTTAATCTATTAAAGACAAGGGGGGGAAAAAACCCATTTTATGAACAGTGTGGTGGTTAAGGGCTATCCCCACATTTATTTGTGGTGGCAGAAAATAATAAAAACTAACACTTTAAGAAACTTTCCCTCTCTCTTCA